ACGTGCTCTAAAGTCCTTCATTCCCCATTGCAACAATGTACGGGTCGCTACTACGCACCCGCTTTTGGATCTCTTTTGGTGGAGAGGGCAAGGCCCGCCACATGTAACGGTGTATGGGATGTTATTGCACACCCACTTTTGCTCATTCAGTACACTGATATCTATTTCGGCTAACACTTCAGGCCCCAATATTAGCATTAAGCTCGCCTGTAGGACAGATATCTTAAAGGACTCGCAAAAGACAAGGAATAACACAACATTCGCACAACGAAGATCTGAAATAGTCTCGAAACGAGCATTAATGTCCCGTGGACCACCGCGAATGACACCAGCTCCAGGCTAAGTGCAGCCCGCCTGGGCATAATCGCCATAAAAACGAAACTCGTACACGGTCACCAGCACTTGTTCGTACTATGGCCGCCAGAGGCAGAGTTACGCAAAGTAAATCCCGCTTCGACGCGGTCCCAACAGGTTTCCATACCACACAAGACATATGTCCATGAAACCCCATAAGGAAAAGAAAAAAAGGGCTTGGCTTCAACCAAGTCATACGTGAGAAATGCCAAAAATCACAGACAAGTCTAAACGGTCTTAAGGCATAAAACGGACAGCGCTCATCTCACGCACGCTGCAAAAGGGTGCTCACTCGCACTAGAGCACACACGCTCTCAAAGTCATATGTTTAACAGGGGTAGCATAAATAATAAAAAGATAAAGGCCCAAAGGGTCTGAAAAACACGATTTACACTGACGGGGAAACATCATCCCCTCCTTCACCTCCTTCTTCATCCCGAGGAACCTCGACCTCGTTCCCTGCCTCTTCCTCCTCGGACTCATCCGCCTCCGAATTAACATCCGCTGACGACCAGAGACCGATCGCATCCCAGACACGGTCTGAGTCCCACTCGACATCGGGGGCGTCCTCCCGGAACAAGTGGCGGATGGCGGCCACCACATTCCCTACCACGGTCTTATACTTCGCTTTGTCGAAGGCAAGAAATTCAGCTGAATTTAGATAAGCAGGTCCCGCTTCAGCACGAGCCACAGCAAGATCATTTTCATGGCTTGCAGCCAGAGCGGCCTTCTCACTCTTAAGACTCGCCACCTCTTGACGGAGCGCCTCCTGCTCCTCCAACAAAGTTCTCTCCAGCTCCTTAGATTTGCGGGCACTCTCCTCAAGGCGACCTTTGGCCGCCAGCAGCTCCCGCTCCTTCTCTGCCAACTTGTCGGTGAACTTACGTTCAATCTCAGGCCGCACCTCCGCAATCACGGCTTCACGTTGGCTGCTCACACTCTTCCGAAAATTGGCAATCTCGACCGCGTTGTCATCAACGGTCTTCGCGAGGCGGTCATTCAGCAAGATGATTTGGGAAAACCCAATCTGAGCCTGCGACGACATGCCCCGGGGAAATGAGTTAGGCAAGGAAATAAAAGAAGCTCAGTTAAAAGGGGAACACTAACCGCAAAAAAGAATTGAGCAGCGGTCCCCGCGAGGCGCCTGTTGCTACCCTCAGATGTGGAGGTGTACTCGGTCGGCCTGGCAAGCCAATCACTGATAGTATGAAGACCGTGTTCGGCCGCCTCTGTGTCTGTGGCGGCCAACTGGGACAAAGAGATGGAACCCCCCTGTTCCACACGCTTCCCACTCTTGCCGCGGTTATCAGTTGCTTTCGCATTGGGGGAGTTCGTCCTAGCCCGCTTTCCGGCTGCCTTAGAGACGAGAGGCTCCACCACCCTCTTCCCCCCTCGCCTGGTCAGAGGGATAGAAGGCTCAACCTCCGGCCCCGCCATGTCCACGATGGGCGGGACTGCAGACTGCGGGCGGTCTTGAGCCATAGCGCCCGCCTCTGCCACCGAGGCGGAAGTGCTACCCGCCTTGGCGTACCTTCCCGCCTTTCTCTTCTTGGGGCGGTTCGCGTTCGCCAACTCGTGAAGACCTGAAAAAGGAAAGCATAAGTGAAGCACATGAGAAAGAGAAGATCAACATTAGCCAAAAAACGACACTAACCATAAAATGCACGAACGTGTTGATAAGCGCTCTCAGGACCGCTATGCTCCACACGAATCTGAACCCCATTCACGAGACGTGTGACGTGATCCTTCACCGATTGAGGAAATTGAGAGGACGCACACCAGTCATCCTTCTGCCCTTCCGAATAACCCGTCAGCGGTTTCGCATCCCCCTAATACCACTTCCATGAGGGGCGAGCGAAAAAATACTCCTTGTACCACGGAGAATCAAGCTTAGGAGCTCCCTTGACGAAACCAACGGCGTTCTCTCGTCGCCCGATAGACCAGCCGTTGCGCGAGTCACGGATGTTATATATCATCCTGAACGCGTCGAAAGAAGGGGTCTCCTTTAGGCGGTCACACGCCCACCGGTACATGATCGAGTGGAAGATGATGGTGGGTGAGAGGCATCCCAGGGTACAGTTGAGCCAGAGTAGGACCTTCGTCAAGATGGGGTCCAATGGGAACCGCAAACCTAGCTTCACGTGCTCGACGTGGATGGGAATCCAACCGTCGGGGCAGGAACCAGAGCGACTCCGCTCAGAAGGAGCCGCATATTGCCAATCCGGAGGCATGCGGAGCGACTTAAGGCGGTACAATACCTGATCTGGTCTGAACACCGCCGCATGTGAAGGACCGCGAGCAAATACCTCCTCCGGAACCTCTCCATCATCCCACATCCCAACATGCCGAAGCAGGGTATACACTGAGTCAGCAATTGCAAGAGGAAGCGGTCTCCCCTCGGCATCTTCCACTACCTCCAAAGACGAAGAGGTACTAGGAACCGCTTCCGAGTGCACCCCATCACTATCAGACTCATCTTCAGTATCCAAGGAAACGCTACCTAATCCTACCCGATTCAATTCACCCAAGTTATCCCCAACCGCCGAAGAGGTGGCCACAACCCCAACTGGCACAGGGCGGGTATCAACATTAGAATTTTCTAAGTCTACAGAAATTCCGACAAGGCAATTGTCCAGTTCAAACGCTTTTCCAACATATAATTCTAAGCCCGACAGGTCAAACACGCATTCAGACGCGCTTCGTGTCGGGGGAGAATAAGTCATACCTTGAGAAACAGGCGCGGTTCCAATTGAAGCCGTCACAGACTTCTTCCCGGCGGCACGAGGAGAGGGAATGGCCACCGATTCCCGACGATCCTTTTCCGCCGGACCCCCCAAAGAAAGATCAGGGGTCGAAACCGTCGGGTTAACCGTCGCGTCCGGGAGAGCAGCGCCGTCGCCCGACATCTGCACTTAGCAAGGCGAGGGGCGAGCGACTATTTCCGCGGCGAGAAAGAGAGCGTCGGCGTTCGAAAAAGAAACAAGGGAAGAGTTAGCGCAACTAGTGGAAGGCGCACACCGCAAAGTACGAAAGAAAGAGCACTCACCGGAAGAGAGCTCGCAATTTATACCCGTCGGAAGAAGCTCCAAGTCTTGCACAGCAAAGGAAAGAAGAAGAAGAAGACGAAGGGGTTTCCGAAAAAAGAAAAAAGTGGCAGAAAATCCCTCCACAAACCCTTCTTAAACTCAATAAGGGGAGGGTTCAAAAGTTGGGGGGTGCGCCGCACGAAAATCGAGGCAAAAACCCCCCGAAGTGACGTCCTCCCTGCCGCCGTCAGGGCTCCCCGCCCGAAGTTCTGACACGTGGCGATGGAAGCGAAAGTTCCGACCCCCCAGGCGTTCGCATGCTACGCTTTCACAGCTAGGGGCAGATGGAGGGTCATACGCCCAGCGGTTTTAAATTTGGTGACGTGGGCTGGCGACCCAGGCCGCTCAATAATGATAAATGACCTCGTTTAGCCGCGAAAACCTACCACTTCTCACGCCTAAGGGGCAAATGTTGGGCCAAATATTGAGGCACACGGGCCCCAAGCCCACAAAGTCACCAAAAGCCCATGAAAAGGAAGGCCCACCCAAGCAGGGGCAAAAGCACCATTCGGAGGCGGTCCTCACCTGCCTTCGAATGAAACCGCCCGACATCCGGGCCTGCCTAGAGTAGGCGACCGCCCGACAATACGGTCTAACGGACTTCTGTCCTTCAGGTACGGAATCTGACAAGAGATACGACCAGAATAAGCATTTAATGAAGGCAGAGGCGACCCTGAACGCCCGACAAGCTATTAAATGCGCACAACACCACCAGAACTAGTATAAATACCCAATGATAGGGCTCATTTATGGTAACTTCGACCAACTCCATTCTCTCTCTTATTTACTCACACTTTACTTCTCTCTCTAACTTAAGCATCGGAGGAGGTCCCAGGATCCCCCTGAGGACCTTTCTGCAGGGCTTCGGAGACCGCCCTCGACCATCGAAACCGCCTAAGGCCAGTGGAGTCTCACAAACCGCTTGGGACATTCCAAGCACAAACAGTAATCAACACTAAACAAGTGATTTCAAAGAAGATAAATTATGAGAAAAATAAGAATTATGCTACAAACGAGCTTGCACAGAAATGTGGATTTTTTTTAAGAAAAAACATGCAGAAAACGCTAATAAGTAATAATTAACAAAAATATGTATGCATATTGGAATTTAGGTCCCAACATAAAAGGAAAAATTGGGTGTTCCTCGGTTATTAATTCAATGTTTGGTTTGTCTAACCAAACAAATGGTCTCAACATGGTATGCATGATCCGCACCGTAAGCACAAGCATGACCTGATTTAGATCGTATAGAATTCGATCGAACTCCTGACCAGTGATTCAACCCCACCGTCCGAATCGTCTGTACAGGTGGTATCTTTCTTGTTTGGGTTGGTGGCAATGGTCAATGAAAATTGACATAATGAAAATTCAAAGTTGCTCAAAAAACTTTCTTGTAGCGTTCCTAACTTCCTATCACACATGCCTGGTCAATGAAAATTGCTGCAAATTCTTGGTTGCTGTCCATAATGCCCCTACCACAGCTAAAGATGTACAACACAGATTCGAATCCACCAAAACAGATCATTATCATCATCTTCTAAAATGCGAGGGAATCAGTTTTTATTCAGGTTCCGGTTCAAATTCAGGTTTGGATATGGGCGGTGTTCTGACGAAATCAGCAAAGTCGTATTCTACTGTTCTATGGTGGAATGTCGGCGAATAAGCATATCTCCTTGCTATGGTGCCGGCCGAGTACAAAATCTCTACGAAGCCACTGCATCTAGTCAGTCTCAAATGCATCAAGCTTCGGGTCACGATGTTCAGCCGGCCACCGGGGCACGGCTGTATACGGCCGTCCGGCGTCCCATAAATACGATCGCCGACGATGCTGCAGTCTTCCAAAGTCAACTCCTCGAGATCCTTGAAACCAGGGATAAGCTCCCACAGGAACATCGCCTCAATCAACCGCCCCTTTTGCACCGCCAGGGATTTCAGAAACCTGATTGATTATATCAGAAGCAATAAAAGAGAGAGTTTTAGTTAGTAACCCGCGCGCATAAGAAACAAATCAAAGTTAGGGTTTCGACAACGGTGGTTCAATTGAATTGATTTTTATCAGAAGCAATGAAAGAGATGTCTAGTTAGGTAACTAGAAAAACTAATAAAAAATCACTAATGTTTGGACACGGTGGTTCAATCATCTTACATAAAGCTGCAGGGGCTGGCGAATTGGAACTTGAGGATGTCCATGTCGCAGTTCCGCAGGGTCAAGTGTTTGAGAAGCTCCTGCCGTCTTCTTCCCGACAAAAGACTGCTCAGGGAGAGTCCTCCGTGCGGCGGCTGTGGCTGCCGGCGGGTTAGAAACGACACGGCTTTGGAGTGGCAGCAGGTGCAGGCGCCGTCCACCAATGGCGCCGTGGTTTTGGATCTGTCCGCAATTGGGATCCTCCGGCTCAAAATTCAGCCCCAGAGAGTCGATGGAGAACTCGGTACGGCGGTATCGCAGCCGGGTGCGGGCCGGGCGGAGAGGGAAGGGCTCTCGCCGGCGGATGACCTGGTCGACCCAGCTCAGGAATTCACCCACGGTGTCGAAGCACGAGATTGGGTAACCGTCGGGCATGAACTTGGTGATGCCGTTGCCGGCGAAGTGGCTGTTCGGCAACGCCGGCGACCTCCACTGACTCCGCCATCGCCGGGAGAGGACGCTGGTCCTCCCCGCCTCGTCAAGCGGCAGCGCGATGGCTATCTTGCCCAGTAGCTCCGCCGGCAATTTGCCAAAGTAAGGATCTCCGTCCATTCTCAATTCTCTAAAATTGTTATTAGCTTGAAACACAGATCGTGAATTCGAGATGGTGTCTCCCTCCCCTGTTCAACACTCGGTCATATTTACAGATAGAACTTGAACTTGGAAGCAGGTTCGGACTTCGGAGTCGGAGTCGGAATCTGTAATCCCAAAGGAGAAGGAAAAGAAAAAACAGAAGAAAGAAACAAGTCAAACCCAAACCTCAGAGCCCGTTTCCCCCAACTCCATTCTTCTGGGCTCTGGCCCATCTCGTAGCCCAAACCTATAGTTTACTTGTCAAACGATCCAAAAAATAGTAGCTTATAACCGATTCGTTGGTCGGAGGAGTTGAGACGAATATTGAATTATTAATATGAACGTATTAATGCTCTTCATTCATGTATGCTGTGAGGGCAACATCTCATTAGTAACTTGTCATTAGTTGGTAATGGAATAGGGAATAGTGATATGAATTTGTTTCGGCGTTTAGGATAACAAAGAAAGCTGCAGAAATAAGACCTACTTCGATTTAATTAAACTTAACAAGAAGAAACATACTATCTAGGGTAATGTCTATTTTTTATCCAAATGACCAAATCTTTTTCAGATTCTTTTATATTATCCAAACCTATTAAAATGCTATTAATTAGCCAAATCTTTTGTAATGCATCAAAATATTAGCCATTTTTACGCTATTGTTAATAATTATGTAACACTTTTCTTAGTTAAAATACTAAAATTTTGGAATGTTGACATTCATGTGTCTCTTCCAAGTCAGTATCATGTTGCCAAGTCAATATTACTAACAAAATTGCTAACTGAAAGTAACATTTGGCTAATTCTTAGTATTTCGATAGGTTTGGATAATATAAAAGAATCCGAAAAAGGTTTGGATAAAAAATAGACATTACCCTACTATCTATGTCCTTCTTGTTTGTTTTATCTTTCCACCATAGTGAGCATTCGCAAGAAAAAAGAGAATGTCAATAAAACTGATGAACGTTGTGGACCAATGGTGCTATAGCATCGTGTTTTTTTTTATAGTGATCAGAAGTTATGACAAACACATACAATCTTTGACAATAACAATAACAACATCAATGTTGTCAATACTTCCGTGTAGTGATGGCCTAGGTGGGATCCAAGGGTGGTCAGAGATTGGAAAGAGGAATGCACACTCTGGATAGCAGCCTGTGCTAAATAAATAAAGAAGTGAAAATGGTAAAACTAATATACATGACTTTTTCTTCATTCAAATAAATCTTGTCATAACTAATAAATAATTGCAATGTCAAAAATAGGATGAACTCTAATCATTACAACATCCAAATAAAGAATTTCATCAAGTGCCCCAAGCTTTCACTTGTCTATTCTCTAGTATATTAATTTTTTAATGGAACTGTATAAGTACTACGTAGAGGATATATTCATAACAACATAAATTACATCCATTGTTCTTTAGATCAACACAGTTCCACTGAAAAAAAAGCAAAAATGTCCATCTAAATGTCCACAACCCGGTAAGATGTACAAGTGGTTTCCTAAGTTGACCTGAAAAATAAGCAAAAATGTCCACAACCCGGTAAGAAAAAGCTTCATGCAGACTTAAAGATCTCTATGCACAACCCACACCACAGGAATTAGTAGCAAAAAGATTTGCAAACCCAAAAGAGAACTGAAATTTTTCTAGTTCTTGGAATTAACATCATGCAAAAGACACCCACATAAACAGATGCAAGTTTGTTTTTGTTGAAAGTTGAAGCACCCAAAAATTAATTGCGATAACATTAGACATTGATATGATATAAGTTAAATGTTAATGGCATTCCAATTTCCTCTTCAAACTCCCAAAATTTTGCATATAAGAAAAGCAACCTTAGCATATACATCTAAATGACAACTAAAAAAATAATAATAAGAAAACCACTTGTACAGGAGCGAAAGGGATAAGCTCGAGGAAAGGGTTTTCTTCAAAGAGCAGGCTATGCATATTTCTGTAATTCAAAGAGGAGCGGCTTCATACCAGTAAACTACATGAATGTCAATCAGCTAGATCAACTCCACTAGAATAGTAATCAAGTAATCAAACTATGCATTGTGTCAAATGATATAATGTTCATACTATTTCTAAGCAAAACAATAGATAACAGTCGGAAAATAATAATATTGCACTCACCGAGAGTTATTATAACCTACTTCTATATGAACAACTAAACCGAAGACTTTAAAGAAGGCAGAAGAACCCTAAATTTAACTACAATCAAACACAAATCAGCAAGATTTTCGATTTTTTTGAGAGCCAACTACACAGAGAGAAAAATTGAAGTATATCTAAAATTCTCCAAGCAAGTTGAAGGCAAACCATAACTTTAAGATATTCATAATAGCCTTCAACTATTGATGTAGGGGCTGGCGAATTGGAACTTGAAGATGTCCATGTCGCAGTTCCGTAGGGTCAAGTGTTTGAGAAGCTCCTGCCGCCTTCTTCCCGACAAAAGACTGCTCAGGGAGAGTCCTCCGTGCGGCGGACGGCTTAGAAAGGATACGACTTTGGATCGGCAGTAGATGCAGGCGCCATCCACCAATGGCGCCGTGGTTTTGGATCTGTCCTTATTGAATTCGATCCATCCGCAATGGGGATCCTCCGGTTCAAAATTCAGCCCTAGAGAGTCGATGGAGAACTCGGTACGGCGGTTTCTCAACCGGGTGCGGGCCGGGCGGAGAAGGAAGAGCTCTCCCCGAAGGATAACCTGGTCGACCCAGCTCAGGAATTCACCCACGGTGTCGAAGCAGGAGATTGGATAACCGTCGGGCATGAACTTGGTGATGTCGTTGCCGGCGAAGTGGCTGTTCGGCAACACCGGCGACCTCCACTGACTCCACCATCGGCGGGTGAGGACGCTGGTCCTCGCCGCCTCGTAAAGCAGCAGCGCGATGGCTATCTTGCCCAGTAGCTCCGCCGACAATTTGCGAAAGTAAGGATCTTCGTCCATTCTTATTCTTTAATAATAAATAATTACTTGAATTGTAGCACTGATTGTGTCTCCCGTGCTCCACCTTCATTCTTATTTATAGCCTACAGTACATGTAGAACTCGGAACTTGGATATAGTTGGGAGTTCGGATGCGGAAGCTTCTTTTTTTTTTTTTTTTTTTTGTAAGATCGGATACGGAAGCTTTACTCCAAAAGGAGAAGGAAAGCAGAAAACAGAAGAAGGAAACAAGTTAAACCCAAATAGTTAGGGCTTTTTATTCGTGATTGGGCCTCATGTGTGGACCTTTTCACCCTTATTTTTCTAGGATTTTTTATTTTTGAAAAAATGAAAAATGTTTTGTAAAACAAATAACCAGAATCTCAGATTAAAAAACTGTTTTGAAAATATATAATTAACCTTATCATATTTTATTTAAGAACATGTAATTTTCTATCATATTTATCATTTTAAAAATTAACAAATATAAACAAATATTATTTAATAAACAATCAAACAAAATCCATTTTGACTACTTTATGTTTTATAATTTTTATTCATATTTTATATTAGAAATTATTTTTTTAGTAATTTTACATGATTTCTTATAAAAAAAACACTTCAAATAGTTTTTCAACAAAACACTCAATATTTTTTTGAAAAGTATTTCTCTAAAACCTCATCCAGAAGCTGCTTCTGCAAAAACTACAGCATGACCACTAACTTGTTCTAACTACAACATCCCGATCGACGGCCAAGTAAAACCGCCGACCAGGTGTAGCATAGGGCAAGCAAGCAATAATAATTTATCGTGCAACGGGGATCTAGACTTACCCTACTTCAGGTTTATGGTTCGTTATCTAGCCAATCTAGAGTAGTGATTAGGGAAACTAAACTAACTAACCTAACTAACCACTAACCTAACTATTTAAAAGGTTGGGAGCTCTCTTGTGTTGAATCCCCCTATTTTCATCCTTTGGATCGTTGTTGAGTATCCTTCTAGCTCAATCAACTCAAATACTCTACCGTTAGGAGATGGACTCCCGCGGGAATGACCCAGAACGGCGAATCCATGAATGGGGTATGCTCTATTCAACCTAGGGCAACCCTATATCGTAGGAGATTGATGGAATCGTGTTAGAAACAAAGTTTCTAACGGGTTTGATAATTGGGGATTTGGGTATTTGAAGAATATAATTACGGATTAAGAAGTAGACTTTGGGGAAGAACGAGAAAGAATTAATGGCCGACGACCGGATTAGGGATAGAGGAGAAATTGAGAGGAGTTGGGAGAGAATAGGGTTTAAGGATTTTCTTAATATTCTTCTTGGCTGCCCACTAATGAATCACAAAGTACATATTTATAGGGAATATCGGGAAACCCTACTAATAAACTTAATTGTACTAAAAGACTACTAACCATAAATAAAATTACTCTACAAATAACTATAATAATAAATATAGAAACACTACAGAAATCAGTTTCTAACATCTCCTCCCCCTTCAGACCAACCTTGCCCTCAAGGTTGACCGATTTGGCCCACTTCTTCGCCTCTCCCGCGCGACCAACATCTCGACTGCTCCGTATCTTCCGCTTCCTTTTCGTCCAATTGCGTTGAAGTGACAACTTCAATTCCTTGTTCAAACTAGCACATAGTCCCATTAAGTACTCCCATCCTCCCATCTCCTGAAAATGAGTACTGCCCATGTTACCCACCCACAATAGCTCTTCAATCTTACTTCCTTGCAACCCTTCACATTTCAAGGACAATTCCTTGAATTTTTCCAACAAGGCTCCCATAGAATTTCCCTTCCCAACCATGTTCATTTCAAGCTTCGCATCCACCACTACAATCACAGGTACCCCAATTATTTTACCAATTAAACCAGTCCTAATCACCAGAATGTTAGGCCTTGTAGCAAGGCTAGGCTCCCTGACATTTCTCCCCCATTGCCACACTGACCAAGCCATGCATCCACTAGCATAAGCGGACACCTCATGTTTATCGATCATTAGTTGTGGGGTGGGAATGGAACGCTCCACAAAGGTTTTCACAACGACGCACGGGGCGGCAACTACTTGTGCAACAACTGCAGTGACGGCGGCATCCCACGGCGAACGTGCCTCTACTTCAGCATCTTGAAACTCGACCAAGCTCGACTTCGTAGTGTCCACTTGAGTGGCAGAAATCTCGTTCTCTTCGGCTGCAGCATGCGATGGTGGGACTATGACAGAGATGAGCGGGGGTGTTGGCAATGGCCATACTTGATCCGGAATTTTGGCGTTCACACCCATCCCTCCTGATATCCTAGCTCCATCGTCGTGCCCTTATAACACACTTTCAGTAGGGCCCAGACAATTTCGATGTAGTAGCCAACGACCAGCTATCCTGACCATGAACGCCATCCCCACTAACCATGGGATGACTGAGTTGCAGCTTGATCTTTTTCTTCCTAAACCTCCAGCTCGCAACGCGGCCACACGTTACTTTCCTCTCTTGAATGGCAGCTTGACAAAGGTGGCCATGAGAATGCTTAAAGATCTCTTGACACCTTTTTGCCAAGACATCAACTTCCTCAATAAATAGAACTAAGGATTCATCTACCATGGTTTTCTCGAAAAGGTCTCAGATTTGAACAAAACCATTACCAAATAAGGCTTTAGCAACTTCACATCCCTCCATTTGGTCAAACCGAACACTTGCTATAGCCATGCAAGCTAGAGTCTTCCCACATCCTGGAAGTCCCAACCAGAGCACCCTATGTGGAGGCTTAATGCCTATTTTATCGCCAAGCTCATCAGCTACTTCATTCATCCTTGCAACATCAACAACTGTGATTCCCCTGGAATTATTAACATCAGCTTCAGCTCTAGGACTGGGAAAGTCAATTACCAGCCACAAATCTGCAGCGTTAGTGCGACCAGACATCTTTTCTAGTGACGACGGCGGCCACGGTGGCATTGTGGTGATTGACCACACCCTCCAGATGCCTGACGGCCCGACCGCAACTCTCTTATCTTCTTTATTTGATGGCTGATTCAGCACGCCCTCTTTCGTTGGGCGTGTTTGTTTGATCGTGATGATGAGGAAGAACGAGCCGCTCTGAGAGGATGGGAAAGATGTTACCTTCTCTTCGACTGTAAAAAATTGAGCAGCCGGATGGGAAATAACTAGCATGGTCGCGATCGTCACGGTGATCTGACTGTCTACTCCGATAATCTTTCTTACCTTCCCCTTCTGCTGGGTCTCCTGCGCGGGGTCCTCATTGTTCCCCGTCGAGTCAAACCGTGCCGTCAGCTGCTGGTTTCCCGCTGCGCCGTCATCCACGGCATTATCTTTCTCCCTCGAGACGGACAACAAAGACGGGGATTTTACCACCCTTGTCGCGTCAAGTCTTGCTCCTGAGTCTTCTTCCTTGTTCAACGCCAACTGCCTGGACGCCTTGAGTGACTGTTCAGAAGTCGCAAGCTGTTTCGAGGGTGAACCCGCAGTGGACTGCAGGAAACCTGTTGGCGTCTGCTCCTCGCCTGCGTGGCTTCCCACAATGTCGTCGTCCGCGACGCTTGTCTCGGGAGGCTGCCCTCCGGTTTCGTCAGAATCGCCAGCCTCTGCGGTCGGCGGCTGCCCCTCCGCCGCGTCGTCACCTCTGTGCTTCGCGTCTGCCTCAGCCAGCTGTGAAGGTAGTGCTTCGTCGGCCGCCGCCTCGGCCTACATGAGCGGCAGATCCTCAGAGCTCCAACGACGACCAATGCGACGAGCTTGTTCCCGCAGCTCTGCCCATGATAGGTCCGAGAGCCTTGAAGAGCTCATCATCAAACCAGTTGTAGAACTCTTCCCCGATTGAGAGTTGTGATGAACTCAATTCTCGAATCGGGCTCTGATACCAAATGTTAGAAACAAAGTTTCTAAGTGGTTTGATAATTGGAGATTTAGAGATTTAAAGAATAGAATTAGGGATTAAGAAGTAGAATTTGGGGAAGAACGAAAAAGAATGGCCGACGACCGGATTAGGGATAGAGGAGAAATTGAGAGGAGTTGGGAGAGAATAGGGTTTAAGGATTTTCTTAATATTCTTCTTGGCTGCCCACTAATGAATCACAAAGTACATATTTATAGGGAATGTCGGGAATCCTACTAATAAACTTAATTCTACTAAAAGACTACTAACCATAAATAAAAGGCAAAATACACTTGCATAGCCAAAACTTTCACCTTTGTGCCACTTATAGCCACGTTTGGCGAAATAACACTAATAGCCACTTCCGTCCGATTCTTTAACGCTGTTAACGTTAAGTGTGACTGGGCAAACGGAAAGACTTACGTGGCCCGCCTGCATTTTACACGTGGACATAATAATTAAAAAAAACAAAAAATCCCTAATTTTACCCATCTTTATTACAACCCTCCTTCCTCCCCACCGCCATCCCTCCTCCCTCCCGTCACCACCCTCCCACCCCATCTTCCATTGTTGGTGACTCAAATCCCAGCATCCTTTCATCTCCCATCTCTCCCCTAAACAAAAGAAATCCATTTCCATTGATTTGTTCATTTACTTAAAAATCTCCCAAAACCATCCATTCTTTCCATTAATTAACTCTTGTTCAATCCTCCCACCGCAACCCTCAATCTCTCTTTAGCTTCCACCACTGTCCTCCATTCTTCCCACCGCACCCTCAATCTCTCCGTTCACCAATCCTTTATACCCACAACGAATTAATCCAATCAACGACCTTCTGCCTTGCCGCATCATCAATGTAAGGACTGAGACCGTCGTAGACCTCCGACCGCCGCTACCCCGTATCGGATCTGTGTCAAAATTGGGGCTTTTTCAATTTTTGCTTTCCTGCTTGATTGAATGTTGGATTTAAAATTGGAGGGTTTCTATGTTGTATGAAGTGGGCTGAATTGATCGTTGAAGGTGGCGATACGGCTGCTCCTGCGGCCCTTCCGTTTCCCATACGGCTGCTCCTGCGGCCCTACATCTCCCTCAGCTCCGCCGCCGGGAGCTCCCCGTCATCAG